CTCCACCATTATAACGCTCATATGCTGCCTCCATCCCTTCACTCCACCATTATAACACTCATTTGCTACCTCCATCCCTCCACTCCATCAGTATACAACTCATCTGCTGCCTCCATCCCTCCACTCCATCAGTATAATGCTCATCTGCTGCCTCCATCTCTCCACTCCATCAGTATACAACTCATATGCTGCCTCCATCCCTTCACTCCACCATTATAACGCTCATATGCTGCCTCCATCCCTCCACTCCATCACTATAATGCTCATATGCTGCCTCCATCCCTCCACTCCATCAGTATAACGCTCATCTGCTGCCTCCATCCACTACACTCCACCAGTATAACGCTCATATGCTGCCTCCATCACTTCATTCCACCAGTATAACGCTCATATGCTGCCTCCATCGCTTCATTCCACCAGTATAACGCTCATATGTTGCCTCCATCCCTCCACTCCACCAGTATACTCATCTGCTGCCTCCATCGCTTCACTCCACCAGAATACCACTCATCTGCTCTCTCCATCCCTTCACTCCACCAGTATAACGCTCATCTGCTGCCTCCATCCCTCCACTCCACCAGTTTAACGCTCATATGCTGCCTCCATCCCTCCACTCCATCAGTATAACACTCATCTGCTGTCTCCATCCCTAAACTCCACCAGTATAACACTCATCTGCTCTTTCAATCCCTTAACTCCACCAGTATAACGCTCATCTGCTGTCTCCATCCCTCCACTTCATCAGTATAACGCTCATCTGCTGTCTCAATCCCTCCACTCCACCAGTATAACGCTCATCTGCTGTCTCCATCCCTCCACTCCACCATTATACCGCTCATCTGCTGCCTCCATCCCTCCACTCCATCAGTATAACACTCATTTGCTGCCTCCATCTCTCCACTCCATCAGTATAACCTTCATCTGCTCATCCATCCCTTAACTCCACGAGTATAACGCTCATCTGCTGCCTCCATTCCTTTACTCCACCAGTATAACGCTCATATGCTGCCTCCATCCCTCCGCTCCATCAGTACGATGGTCGTCTTCTCAATCGTTATGATGCCCATCTGGTGCCTCCATCCCTATACTCAACTAATACGATGTTCGATATTCCTTCTGCTATAAACGTCTGCTGCCTCCATCCCCCTACTCCACCACTGGTGAAGTGGAGGTATGGAAGTAGCAGGGGGGCATCGTACTGATGGAGCAGATTGATCGAGACAGCAGTGATCATTGTACTTGTGCTGCATATGGACATGCCAGCGTAGGATGAAGCCGAGAGATTGAGGCAGCAGATGGAAATCGTAGATGTGAAGCAGCCGTATCAAGCAGCAAACGAACTTTATATTGGTGTAGCAGAGATATGGACATCGTATTGGTGGAGATGAGAGATTGAGGCAGCAGTTGGACATTATATTGGTGGATCACAAGAATGGAGGCAGCAGATGGACATCGTATTGGATTAGCGGCGGGATCGGGGCAGCAAATGAACTTTACATTGGTGGCGCTAAAAATGGAGGCAGCAGATGGTGGAGTTTCCCTCCGTAACTACCGGAAAAAGACGATTCCGCCGGGGAACAAACCTAAATTCGATTCGGGTACCCTACTATCAAAAAACGTCATTTGATAGTAGGATAGTAGGGTACTCGAATGGTGTTGAGCATCAGTTTTAAACGGCAAGGTTTCGAGTTTTACTGATTACTGAGCTGTACCACGGACTTAGAAAATCTAATTCCGTTGTTGTACACTTAAAATACCGATGGGTTCCGTAGGCATATAATATGTCCGAGAGTTTGTAAACATTTCACTGAAATAGTTATTCATAAGTCATCCTTTCAACTAAAATAAAAACACTGACTGACATGCACGTCCCCTTCAAGACAATTAGAATCCGTCCGAATGATTAACCATGGATGACAAATTTAATAAGGTCTACTTTGAGAAAGAAAAACAGATTACATAGAAAAGCAAAAAATACTAATAAGGATAGTGACTGGCTCAACTTTAGAAATAAACGTAATAAAATCATTGACTTAATCAGAAAACCAAAGACGACTACCTTAAGAAATTACAGAATTCCTTATCAGATAAGACAGTACCACCAGGTAAGAGGTTGCGTATAGCCAAATCAATAAGTAACATGTCAAACTCTATTAATGCCTCTCATCCCCTACGAGTTGGTGGTAATGTTATGATTCATACTATTGACAAAGCTGAAGCACTTAAGAATTGTTTTGCTTCTATTTCTAAATCTTCTGATGGTAGTACTTACACTTTAGATATAGAAGTACCTCCCATTAGTCATCTTAATTTTAATAATATATTTTCATTACAGAAGAAGATGTTAAGGATCAAATATCAATTATCAAAGTCAAAAACCATCTGGACCAGATAATCTGTCACCCATTATTGTAAAAAGTCTCCTACCCTCCCTTGCGTTACCACTAAAAATATTGTTTCAAAAAACTATTACTCTTGGAAAGATACCCTTAACATGGACATTGTCTAATATAAATGCACAATATAAAGGTTAAAGAGGAATGGAAGATCCTAGTAAATATAGGCCTATTGCCATAACTTCTTGATTTATTTCAAAATTCTAGAAAAAATATATCTTTAAGTATGTATTTAATCATGTTACTAAACATCACATAATAAGTGAACATCAATCTGGATTTCAACGTGGTGATTCAACAGTTAACCAATTACTATCCCTGTATAATATTATCTCAAAAAATCTTGGAAACAACGAGTGATTTATGAAGGATATTCCTCTAGTTTCAAAAATATTACTGCCGGTGTTCCTCATGGGTCTACACTTGGCCCCTTTCTTTTCTTACTTCTCATTAATGATATAACAAATGAAATTCATATTCATATTAAATTAATTGCTGATGACACATCATTACATGTAATTGTTGATGAAGATGTGGTTGCTCCATGCATGGATCTAAATGAAGATCTAGACTCTAGAAATTGGGCTAACCAATGTAAAATTAATTTTAATCCAGATAAAACTATTGCATTAACTGTTACAAAAAAAAACGTTATCATCCCCCACTTCTCTTTGATAATCAAATAGTAAATGAAATAACTAATCATAAACACTTAGGTCTTTTATTCAATTCCAAAGGTTCGTGAAAACTATGAAAAGGCATGCAAAAGATTGAATATTTTACGAGCACTCAAATACAAAGTCGACAGAAATGCTTTGATTATACTGTATTGTTCTTATGTAAGACCTATTCTTGAGTATACAGAAGTTGTTTGAAACAATTGTACTATTGGTGAAGCTAAATTATTAGAATCTGTACAAATCGAGGCCATGAAAATAATACCTGGATTACGAAGTGGAACATCACATCAGAAACGATATATACTGAAACTGGTTTTGAACTGCTCTCTTCTAGGCGTCATAAACACAGACTTATTTTAATGTTTAAAATCTTAAATCATATGACACCAGTATATTTACATGACATCGTTAAACCTTATATTAATGATGCTGTTCCACCTCATAATCTTAGACAACACAGATTTTTTAATATTCCTCGCTTTAGATCTAATTTATTTGGCAATAGTTTTTTTCCATATGCCATGAGAATATGGAACTCTCTTGATCCTGAAACAATCTCAGCACCATCATTACATATATTCAAATCCAAACCGAATAATGAAAGAATCCCTCTTGTAAATATTACTCCTGTTTTTCTAAATTGTAGCTATAGAAAGTTAAATGTTATCCTCTGCCAACTTAGAAATAATGCTAGTGACTTAAACTATGATAAATGTGCTGACCATCTATCACCTGATTCTTCCTGTTCATGCGGCCATCCAATTGAAAATTCTGAACACTTCTTCTTCTTTTGTCCAAATTACTCTAATTCCAGACATTTGACCTAATGATGCATTACTGCACAGTTGGTCTGCTATCCCGCCTGCCTGCTGCTTCATGTCGGTGTGTGTGACCAACAGCCGTTGTCAGATTAATTTTGCAGATTTATACAGTATCTTAGCCATTTCATCTACTTATTCCTCCTGCACTCACTTATTTGATAATTACATGCATTATTCCTGCAAACCAAAAGAGGCACATGCATTATTCCTGCAAACCAAAAGAGGCGACTAAGTGTGGACCCCCTGCTGTGACTGTTAGATCCATCGCAGAATTGAGAGGCGACTAATGAGACATTCAATAGCAAATTGAGATTTTTCACATTTACCGGGCCAGATTTCCACATGCACATGTTCCACGTTTTTGATATCTCTCGTTGACTCACTTTATGTCATAGTGCATCTTGCGCAAGAATAGGTCCTCTACATCAGCGTTCCTTGTCCGCGATGCTCTCAGCTTAATTGCTGCCTTACCTTCGGCTGTCTTTAGCCGAGGGGACTATTGGTTTTATATAATAGCTATATTTTCAATTATAGTATATCAGTTATATCTTCTTGTAATGTGATGTATATGTACATGATGATGTAACTGTTCTGTTTCACTGTGTCTTGAAAAAGGAGCGGATCGCTTCGAAAATTTGACAACCTAAACTTGTCCACACTGTTGGAATTACTTCTTTGCCCCATAATGTCATATTAACACATTCATGGAGAAGATTGATATAGGCCTCGCCTGTTATCTTATCCATTTATAAATATGTTAATATATATAATACAATTTGTTAATAAATAAATACTTTCAACTGCAATTTAATTGGCCGTTTCCTGTCGAATTTCGATATGATGTTCCCCAGCGGAATCATTTTGTCCCGGTAGGCCTTAGTACCCGGTGTCTTAGCCGCAGTGTCACGTTGGTACACTACACCCCATAAAATCCTGGATAAGCCCCGATTTTTTGTTGTCGATTATTATCAATAGTGAGAAATGAGACGGTAATGTCAGAATGATGTTGTAATTCAAATGCTTCTAAAAAGGTTTACTTGAGAAAAAATTCACGGACATTGATCCTTAATATCATAGATATCGAAATCAACTTCCTGTGACGTCATAGGCCTCGTGCGTGATTGAGCATCCGCCATTTTATTTGGCGATATTGTTCCTGGTCAGGAAAATCAGCGTTATTTAAAAAGGTACGTGTGATGTGATCTTCATTTTCTCTTCCTTATTCCACTTTGTGATTGTTAATAATTATGCAAGGTATTCTGCGTATCTGGTTTATTATACGATCGCTAGTTCTGCTAGCTGTGAGATTGCTGGCATCTTGTTATTACACCGCATTCTTGGGCTCACCGTTCGTTGTGGAAGGAATATAGCATGTAGGATGATTTGTTATTTGATTTACACGTAAATGTTTGTGGTGTATAATATAATATTCATTTTCACAATGTTGCACTGAAAAGATCGATAGGAATATTTTAAAATAAATATGATAACATTAAAATCCTGACATATTGATTGACCGGTTGATGTTTTTCTTTCTAAAAGGTTCACTAAACTGAAACGAGCATGTCGTTTCCTCCAAGACCTCCCCTGGGTATGCCACCAATGGCTCCTGGCATGGGGTACGCTTTTGCAACTCCTATGGGTAAGTAAACCGAAAATAATGTCTTTCACATACATGGACAGATTTCCTTTCCAAACTTTGTCTGAATTGACTATCTCCTAAAATCATTTGTTAGGGTGAATATAATCCGACAATAAATATATAGAGAAAGATAATATATTTGACACTGGCATCACTATATTATAGTATATGTCTATTTCTCTCACCGACTTAATTGGTCTGTGATTGACATGGACAAGTACTCCTATCACATAAAGTTCCATACTCTGTGAACATAGTGGTCATATTAAAAACAATATTTGCCGAACGTTGATGAATGGCCTAAACAGATATAAGCCAATTATAAAAACATTTAAGGATGTTATTTCTTTTTACAGGAATGATGCCTATGAGTATGGGTGTAATGCAGCCAACAACAGTAAGTTTTGTCAGTCAACTAAATTTTAAGACTGAAATTTTTATATGCTCTTGTACAATGCACATGTCGTGGAGAGAATGTTAAGATGCAAGAGAAAAATAAAAGGAACAGTTGGCAAAGATTTTTTAAAATAATGCTATCTTATTAAGTTAACATTACTTAAGAATGAAAAATATATGAAAGTTAATCAGTTTTTGGATAACAGTGTTTTGTGCAAATAACCTAAAAATGTTTGAATAGTTCCGATTTTTCCCTCCAGGTTATGAGACCCTTAGTGACTTCACAAGCAAACTTAACTCCTCAGTCACTGAAACCACCAAAGAAACAGCTGGTGCCACAGGAGATACCAAAAGTAAGTTATATATGGTTCTACTCGCTTGATTTTACAAACCATACTATGCTATTTCATTAAAACTGAGGGATAAGTGGGAAAAGCCATGGTCAACATATGTTTTTAAAAAATAATAATTTTGAATTGATTTTAAGAGCAGTATAGTAATGTGTTTTACTAATTTGTTCTCTAGGATGATGATGAAGAGAAGCCTCCAGTTACCACAGTATTTGTTGGTAACATCAGTGATAGAGCTCCAGATGCCATGGTGAGGCAGATGCTACAGGTATGTTAATGAAAACGTAATATGTTTAATATTTAATTGCTGTTCCTGTTAAACAAAATGGAAATTTTATGTATGGTAATGCAGTTCGTAAATCATTAACGTTTCATTATGGACTTTTTGTCAGAAAATTTCAGGCAGATTCATGATAGAGTTTGGATTTTGAGTAGAAGAAATTTCTAAGTGTTTATATATGACACTTTGACTTGATTTGCAGAGATTTATTGATAAAGTATTTGTCATTGTGATTTTTTTCTTCAATGGATCACTTCAGGTGTACTTACCTCATTTTAATATTTAAAAATCTTTTTGTGAATATATGTACTGTCATTTATTTTTCTGTATTCATAGGGCAATACCATTTGAATTATTTCAGCAACAAAATTTAAATTAAAAAATGTCTGTTTTTTCTTTTTAAGAGATGTGGTAACGTCCTCAGTTGGAAACGGGTTCAGGGTGCATCTGGGAAATTGCAAGGTAAATTATCTTCAAGGTTACAAATTCAGTAGTTATAATACCATGTGAATAATATCTGTAGAAAGTGTTTTCCTAAAAAGATGTTCTTTGTCAAATGATACACTATATTGATGCCGGTTAACTGTGTTATCTGATGGCAGTCTTTTTATGCCCCTGCCATAAAATGGACGGGCATATAGTGTTGCCCATGTCCGTCCCGTCGTGTCCCGATTCAATATAAACACCCGCCTGTCGCATCCCGTCCCGATTCAATGTAAACACTTAGCAACTTCATTCTTTGACAGATTTTGGTCAAACTCTATGCAACTTCATTCTTAGACAGATTTTGGTCAAACTCTATACAAAGGTACAACCCTCCATAAAATGGGGGGGGCATATAGTGTTGCCCATGTCCGTCCCGATTCTATGTAAACATTTAGCAACTTCATTCTTTGACAGATATTGGTCAAACTTTATACAAAGGTCAAGTATGAGTATACTTCGGACATCGTTGTGTTTCAGGGATTTAAGGCCAAGGTCACACTTGATATATATAGAAAATCATCAACTGATTCAATTAAAACACATAGCAACTTCATTCTTTCACGAATTTTGGTCAAACTTTATATAAAAGTCAAGTATGGGTATACCTATGACATCCTTGTGTTTCACGATGGTAATAAAACATATGAATATTAAAATCAACTTTAAGTGTAGTACCTTGTGTGTGTGCATGTTTCAGGGTATCAAGATCAAATTGGTTGTAACTTTTTATAGAACACTGAAACTAATTTCACATGGCAGCAGGGGCATTTATGTCTTACAGACATTTTCTAGTTCCTTAGATTAAATTATGTAATGTTCAAATTTGAATAACTAATTAGGACTTTTCACCAACTGAAAACACCAACTGCTTAAATATTTAGGTGAGCGATACAGGCCCTCTAGGCCACTTGTTTTTGTGTCGCCTGCAAAAAGCTGGTGACACAGGTATTGCTATGTTGTCGGCGTCGTCAGCACAGGTTTTCGTGAGATAACTGTAGTTTCCTTGGGCCGATCAAACTCAAACTTCATGCAGTGCTTCCTTACCCAAAGTGCTTGCTTGGGATTGCTTTTCAGGTCCGAAGGTCAAGGGTCAAGATCACTGTTACTATAAATAGAAAATCTTTTTTCGTGCGATAACCTGTTTCCTTGGGCCGATCAAACTCAAACTTTGTTATGTTATGTTATGTTTTTTAGAATAGCAAATAAGTAACTTTTCTCAGGATTTTTTTTTCTGTCAAACATCAACTTACAGTTTTCGGCAGGGGTCAAAGTTCGAAGGTGTAATTTTGTGAAATACACTTCATAAAACTTCATTCAAGGTCACTGGGGTCAATTCTGTTAAAATCTTCAAAAGATTTTCTCAATAACGGAAATGTCCAGGGTATTGATTTTTGGTCTATAGTATGCTTTAGGATGGGCTACCAAGTGTATGCACAAGAGTGACCATTAAAGGTCAACTTCCAGTTTTCGGTAGGGGTCAAAGTTTGATTGTGCAATTTTTTTAAACAAACTTCAAAGAACTTCTTCTCAATAATCAAGTGACCCAAGGTCATAATATTTATTGAATATTCATGCTCAAGCAATGGACTGTCAAGTTTAATAATATGAAGACCTTGACCCATGTTCAAGGTCACTGGGGTCAATTATGTTAATCTTCAAAAGACTCCTCAATGCCCATGGTATTGATATTTGGTCTGTAGCATGAAAGGATGATGGGCTACAAGGTTTATGGACATAAATTACCATCAAACATCAACCTACGGTATTTGATGGAGTCAAATTCGCACATGTAATTTTGTGAAATAAATTTCAAAGATACCAGAACTATTTGCGAGTTACTTCCCTTCCACCAGTAGTAAAAGTCCTGGTAGAAAATTGTTCACCTACAAAAATATAACCCAAAGCGAAAGTTAAATACTTTTTTGTTCTGCTATTTTGGAGTACTGCTAAAATTTCGGAACTTGATTTATCTTTATTCAAATGTCAACATTTCAAAATTTAAAAGTCTTTACCTAGGTGAAAAGCCAGTCAAATTGTTAGCCAACAATTTCAAGTTTATTTATGTGTAACTTATTTGATCAAGGCCACAAGAAGAATTTACCACTAGTCATCTGTGGTTTATTTTAGCTGTCAGACATTGTTTATCACCTGAATCATCACCTTCATTAGACCTAAATATTTCTCTCAGGAGAGAAACGATAATGTTTAATGTCCATAATCTTTGAAGCAAGCTTTTCTTTGGTTTCAAAAATTGATAGCTGTGATAATGTCAATATTTCTCTTTCAGCATTTGGATTTTGCGAGTATGAAAACCCTGAAGCAACTTTACGGTGCATGAGGCTCCTTAATGAATGGGAAATAACTGATAGAAAGCTTGTGGTATGTAGATTTATCCATAAAATATCCTACAATATATATTTTTCGCAGGAAAGTGTGTAATACTTTTGGTTCCAGAAACAAACTCTAGGTATTTTCTGATGATACGACTAGGGAGTAAGTTGCTAATTCAGGTAAATTGATTACAAATTAAATGTACACATAACTGATAGGCATTAAGACTGGCAGAATTTTGTGTAATTCACGTCTCTGAGCGTTTTTGTTGAACTAATATTTTTCATTAGTGAAGCATATATTTTCTACTGTCCACATTCGTAAGTATCATTTATTATTCCCAGGTGAAAGTAGATGCCAAAACAAAAACTTTATTAGACGAATACAGAACCAAGAAGAAGGCAAAGCTGACTGCAATCAAGGAAAAGACCGCAACTAAAGAGAAAACTGAGACAACTGAAAATGGAGATGATGATAAGGAAGATGGAGATAAAGAAAAAGAGGAAAAAGACAAATCATCTGAGAATGGTGATGATAAGGAAGATGATTTGGATGAATTTTCAAAAAGAGAAGACAGAGTGGCAAAAGCCGGCCTTGATGCCATCATGAGAGAATACGCCTCTGATCTCAGTAAACCTGTACCTTCAGGTAGGAAGGATTCAAAAGTATCTTTGACAGGTACATGAACATGTTTCCTTATGATAAATAGATTTTCTTTTTTTATAATATCAGGGATTCCATTTCTAGTATGAAGCATATATGGAAGAAGCTTTGAAGTGCACAAATAACACTGAAAATGACAGAGAGCAAGTATGGTGAATATACTAAGGCCAAACAAAATTTAGTCTGTTTAGGGTTGCATTGGCAAAAAAACAAGGGTAGGTAGGTCAATTTTTTTTTGTGGTCATGTGATTATGACCCTACTATTGTATGTAAAACAAAGAATTACATTAACAAGGTTCATTTGGAGGCAAATTGTGCTCCATATGCTGACATTTAGCGCCAACACGGAGCTGGAAGCTATTTTGAAAGGCAAGGAACCTTCTAAAATTTGAAAATCAGTGTTTATTTAAAAAAATAAATGGGTCGGGGGTAAAAAGCTAGGGTTGGTTGGGAACCCTAAACAGACAAAACATTTTTTTTGCCTAAAATCAGCATTTAAAGGGAAACTCGATACAATTTTCTAGTGGCCTTTTTTCCAAATTGAATTAATATGGAAGCTGTCTGGAGAAATTTATCAGACTAACATAACCTCTCAAGACAGATTCCATTCGGTGGTTATTTCAAGCCTGCATTTATCACAACTTTGGCATGCAATTAAATATGAAAACAATGATTAAATAGTTAAAAAGAGTTTAATTGCTGTAACCCTTTCTCATGTGTGTCTTTCCAATACTGGTTTTGAAAGTGCTATATAATCATTTTTTCATTGAAGAACATCATTTAATCAACACTGATTTTGTTCATTGTAATACTTTTCAAACCACGCCTAACACGTTTGCTTTTGAGTTGTGTGCACTTTCTAATTACCAACACTGTCAGAAATTACTTTCTGTGCTGAAGATAATTGAAACAACTTTCAAGTCTTGGTTTTTGTGGAAGCACTATTGTAACAACTTTGTATTGTCATAAGTTCTATGCCTCAAGCAAATTGAGGACGCTTGGCTAATGATTGTGTTCTGGTCCTTTAACTCTTACTGTATATTCAATATCATAGAAACTGATTTCATTCATATTTTTATATCCAATGTATGTAATACTAAACTTACTCTTTGATTAAGTCAAGACAGTAAATTGTGTTTAATTGAAAATAGCAATTGATAAAATACTGCAGTTTGTCCTTGAAAGCATTGGCTACATCTGTTAATATCCTATAGCTAACACTGACTTGAATTAAAGAGCTGATTGATTTGTAATTTTGTTTGAAAAGGAGCTACAAAGTTTTATGAAAAAAGGACATGCAGCTTTATGTCAATTTAGTACGTTGTAACAAGGAGGTGGAAGCTTAAATATTTTGCTCAAATAATGTGCAATCAATAATTCTCTCATACTTGTAGACATGGAAAAGGAACAGAAGACAGTTCAAAAGAAGAAGGAAGACAAAGAAATAAAAGATACTGTAAGCATATTTTAAATAATAAGTGTTTACTCCCATTTCCAGAGTTAAGATTTTCATGTGACATCTGTATAATTCAAGCACCAAGCCTGCACCAAGCCTGTTTTGAAGTTTTTAGTACAAAAGCAGAATCTTTTTAAGCTCCCCAAAACAATTTGGAGGAGCATAAAATCGTCTTGTTGTGCACCTGTCACGCTTCCTTAAGCAAAACTTTTATATATAGTGTACTTGGTATCTTTATGAAACGAGTACACATGGTAAGGAAATTCTGACACAGAAAACATAACTCTTGTCCTGCTAGATATGGAGGTATTCCCCTTCTCGTAGTTAAAAGCCATCATGCTCTGTCATCCAGTGCATAACAATGATATAGTTCATCTAGTTGAGAGACTAACATAATTTCTGCCCTAGGGGTCCTCCACAGAATTGGCATGGGTGCTGTACTGCTGCAGACAAAATTCATCAATGGATAATGTATATTATATGATGACATATATACTATAAAGCAGCTATGAAAAAGATATTAAACCATTTATTAGGTCTGTAGTTTTTTATTTGCGATAGAAATGTCATGATGCTTGACGACAGCCACCTGAAGCAGTGTTAATGATATGATTCACAAAACAGTAAATAAGTCTGGATTTAAAATACTTCACAACATTTGTTACTGCAGATTATAATTGGCTGAATCACTGCATACATTTGTTTTGTGACAATTATTAACACTGATAGTCTGTGATGAACTTTCCATAGAAGTACAACATACAAAAACTTTAAAAACATAGGACTTCTATTTTACCTCATCGGAAAAATTACAAGCAATCCCAAATTTCTATAAACCGATAATATGTTGGACTTTCTTTTGTATGCTGTTAATCTATCTAAAGCCACCCATTTAATTCCACCTGAACAATGTGATTTTGTAGAGTATGTAAAACAGAGCAATCGGACCAAAACCAGCAGAATTTCACTTGTTTTGTTATTGTTATTTAGTTTGAATAAATATGTTCAACTAAATAGACTTAATATGCATTTAGGACTCCGAAAATGTGTGTTTTAGGTATCCCAAGCTTCCCTAGATTTTCCTGCCAACCCTAAAAACGTTATCACCTATTTGTATCTAAGATTAATTTATTAGCCAGGTGAAGCTCACAGCCACTTATTAAAGTGTACTTAATCCTGTTCTGGGAGTCTGACCCTGTTCTTGACAAATTAATAGCCATTTAATGTGTCGAAATGCATTTTAAAATTTGTTATAAAACATGATATTGATCAATGAATATAAAAAAAATAAAAACGTTATTTGCTTGACCTTTTTTTTCAGGCATGTTGCATGAAACACCTATATGAACTCATAATTTCTTAGGCCCTTATTGACATATGGTATTGGTGTGTCAACATTTTTGTTGCTCTTTTTAGGTAAATTCTCATATTTCTTCTTTTTTAATCTGTTTTTGTGATTACTAATTACACTACATCTTCCACTTTTAAAAAGTGTACTCTCACCCTGAGCCATACATCTAACCTGTCATATTGTCAAAAGTCTGGTGTTGTGGCCAGATGAAACCGGAGCTAGTTTCAGAGAGCAGCCATTAGTTCTACTGATGCTCTTGCTGCTATCATATTTTGATGAACAATTTAGATAGAAAACTAGTTTTTGTATCATTAAAAGCTGTGGAAAAAAGAATTTTGCTTTGATACTGAATTATTTCAAAAGCTGTATGTCCTTTGATACTTAAATTAGAAAGTGTGTATCTGCTCCTTTGCTTGGATTAAAATTGTATTCCATGGTAATTTTCAGGGAATTGATGATATAGACATGGAGGAGGACAAACGAGAAATCATCAACAGAGAAATTAGAAGTTTTCGAGATCTCCACAAGGTATGCAATTGACTGTACATAATTTATGGCTTTGATACCTTGTCATGATGTAAATATGTACTTCGTTTTCCTGAATTTTGAATGTTTGTCATACAGAATGCTTATTATCCCTACTTTTATTTAAAATCTTTTAAAATACTTTTTCTCAATACACCTGCAAGTCAGCAATATGTAACTTATAAGGATTAGGACAATTCATATTCAGGAAAACAAGTTCAAATTTGATTCAATTTCAGAAATGATGGGCTGTAACAAATGCGTAACTTAAACATATGTACAAGGGTGGCTTTCAAAACTGGCTTTATTCTGACATGTTAATATGAACACTTATTATCATTAATAATATCAAAACCTTCTCCCAAAGTCCTTTCTGCAATACATCTTATTTCCTGCCAATAGACATCTTGCAATAGTAAGCCTAAAAAGCAAAAAGATAAAAGTATGTTGAAAAACAGAAATTCCTTTTTCTATTAAAATGAAGTATATATATGAAAATTCTCCAACATTTTTACAAATGTCATTAGATTGAAGTCGGCTGGTTGATTAAATTAGGGCCTTGAAGTACCAACAATGATTTGCCTAGTGTTAAGCATGTTCAATTAAAATTGTCTTTATTTTAATTATCTGGTATTAAATTAAAAAGATTGAAATTTCTGTCCTTAAAATTTTCTTAATAAACTGCTGAATAACAGGCTGTATTTCATTACTCAAAAATTACTAGATTCTCTCGATGCTATGCGGCAAGCATCCGATCAACATGAATAGCAGTAAATTATTATTGTAAAGACCAGCCGGTAAGTAGCTACTTAGCTTTACATTTTGATATATATATGCCATGATCCTGGATGAAGATATGTTGGCAGTGCACATACATTGGTAAGTCTTTTTCAATGATTAAATTTAATCCCAGAAATAATCTCAAAATAAATTTCAGAGATGGAAATTTTGAGCCTTTTTCAGAATTTTGGTGTAATGCAAACTTAATTTTCCCATTGAAAGGATTAAACATATTGTTTTCTGCCTCTTTGCTGGTAGTGTTAAGGCCATTTTCATCTCTGAAATTTTCAGTTTTCTATAATCATAGTCATGCAATCCTGATTAAGGTCCCTTTTTATGTAATATGATGTAAATGAGAGGCAATCTGATCTAGGATGAGCACACAGTGCACACAGTTTTAGGTTAGTGCCATTACTTTACTTTGGTTGGTTCAATGCTCAATCCCTGGGGGTCAGATTAAGGTAAGTGAAACATTTACTTACCTTTCAACTTGTGTTTTTGTCCTAGTCCTTTTGATTTTAGCTACTCGCACTGATAGTGTGACTCCACTGTATGTAGTGATGGTAGTAGTCTGGTGTGAGTCAGTGGTCTGTTTTGTGTATGATGTTGTACTTGAGTTGTAGAGAACAGGATGTTCTCGCCCTGTGAGGCAACACATATAAGACCTAACATCCAAAGGTAAGAGGATCACAGGATGTCATATTGGCAGTTCACTTTTGTTGCATTAGCTTAAGTCGATTATATCTGTATTTTTTATATACATATATATATACAAATTTACATTAGTTCTTCCATATTTCTCCTGTTTTTTATGGTTGCCTACTATTTTTTTTATTTTATTTTTTTATTTTTTTTATTTCCCCCTTAAATAAACCTCAAAAAATTGTTTAAATATGTGGTATATGTTTCCCTGCCTTGATAAAAATTGAAAAAAATATTCTGGCGTAATTTTCAACGAATAAATTTGTGGAAGGGAAGGGGTTGGGATGTTAATGTCAATTTTTGTGTTATTAGCAGCAACTTACACCTGTCTTGGGTGAGATTTCACACCTGGAATAGGCCATCGAAGGGAACTAGGAGGATGGATTACTACAGTACAGAGAAGTAATATGTATATGTAGTGAATGGTTTGGTATTCAAGCCTTGGCACAGACTCATTGCCCGGATTAGGGAGAGGTTGACTGTTCGGTTATAGTCAGCAATCACTCTTGACATCTTGGGCATGGCCATGGATGTTGGTGTTTTAAGTTTTCTTGACTAAAGTCTTGAGAGAGCTATGGAATTGCTTTAGCACATTGTGCTGCATTATTTGTCTATTTATTGATTAATTATGTATATCTGTAACTGAAATGAATTTTTCTTAGTGCCTCTGCTAGGAGATGTACCTTGGACTACAGATTACTAGTCAAGTGCTTTACTAATGGAACTAAAGGGAAAATTCCTTAATCTCTGTTGGTAGAACTGTTGGCACCCATATATGGTCTGTGCACTGTGTATGATAATTTCTAACTGGTCTCACAAATATGGTTGCACTCCAGATGATGAGTATGTCACAGTGGTGAATCTTCTAGTCATTTGTTACTAACTCAGATAGAGGGTATTTCCCTTAACTCAATCAGTTGTGCACTGGACTAGTGATCTGTAGTCCCGGATACAACTGCTTGGAAGCACCTGAAAAGTAACCATGGCTACATATTTAGATAAATTCTTCTTCGATTAAAGTATCAGTAATTTTTTTTGCATTTTAAACAAAACTGGTAAATTGAAAAGGTATTGCAAGTTTAGCCAAAAAAATATGTTCATCACTGCAATCCGTCTAAAGACCCTTATTGGCATATAATTGTGATTGACTTAAGTAAATTATTCTAATGTTTCCAAACAATCTCAGTGTTTTAACAGCAGATATTTGCAAACCCAATTGGATGATCAGGACTTGCTTTAAATTACGATTGACTTAGGTAAATTATTCTAATGTTTCCAAACAATCTCAGTGTTTTAACAGCAGATATTTTGCAAACCCAATCGGATTATCAGGACTTGCTTTAAAATTTTCATCTAGATCAATGGAGAGATCTATCCTGTCTATTCAAACTATTCATACATGCAAGAACTTACCACTCAGCTGAGGTTGATTTACTGCTGCATTAATCACACCAATAGGCATGTGTTCAATTGGATTGGTTTCCATTTGGATCATCTATAATATATTGAATCATTTTATCAACCTGCTAAATTGTGTGGTTGATTGAAACAGTGAGGATTGTTACTTTAAACCTTGTACATTTAAAGCGATTAATTTGAATGTTTTATTTTTGTTTAGATTTAAAAGGATGTAAAGTTTTACTTTCCAGATGGTGACTTATGTACTAAAATTTTTACATATGCAGCAGTGTCATCATTGTAGATTGTAAGTTGACCATAGAAGCAGAGTAACAAGCAATTTAAGTATGAATTTTTACTTTGTTTTGCAGGGGGAAGATGAACCAGAAAAAGATCAGGAAAAAGAAAGGGAGCGAGAGCGAAGGATTCTGGAGGAAAAGAGAAGAAGGGAACGAGAGAGAGCCCGTGAACGAGAAAGAGAAAGGGAAAGGGAACGAGAAAGAGAACGGGAACGAGAACGGGAAATGGAACGATATGAACGAGAACGATATGAAAGATTACGGAGCCGGTCTCGTTCACCCTCTAGTCGCAGAAGGAGGTCTCCTAGTAGAGACAGATCAAGAGAAAGGTATGTTACAATATGAGTTAAAAGTTGACTGTGTCATCATTTAAATGGTGGAAGATTGTGTGGTTTTGGTATGAATACATAGAAAAACATTAAAAAGTAATGTTATTGCCACTTAACCTGTTAATGGAAAAAAGTTAAACTAATCCATGATATTTTACCATTGCATAGCAATGACTTTGTTAAGATGAAATTTATGTATGCTATGAATGCCATAGCCCAATTTTGACATCATTATTATGATATTATAAATGTTATGTTGGTTATATCCCATTGATCCTCCCTAGAAAATTGTAGTTTTAATCATCAAACACGTATATAAATAAATTATTGAAATTTTAATTTGAACAAAAATTGAATTTAGATGAATGAATTTTATTTTCTATGAAGCTAAAATCTTTAAAAAGATGGTATTAATAAGGTTTATAGCCAAGGAATGCCAACTGAAAGCAGTGCAATGCCTAAATAGCATAATTATGGGGATTCAAAAAGAATCAAAATTGGTGGACATGAAAATCAAAAGTTTCAATATATTCTCGATCATATTTTTGTGTGTTTTTTATTTTTAGAAAATTGCGAGATAGAGATCGGGATAGAGATGTAGAGGAGGAGGAAGAAGCACATGAAAGAAGGAAATTAGAAAAGAAACTCAGAGAAAAAGAAGCAGCTTACCAAGAGGTAACATTTCCTGTTGAATGCATATAGTTCAAGCTGGCTGCCATGGTCCTGATTTGCTTTCACTTTTAAGGCTATAAATTATGTTCTGTTGATCTGATTTTGTTCTTGCTTAGTTGTTCTTTTCTGATTACACACACATATAATCCATGTAAATTATTATAAAATTCAAGGGCATTCTGTGGTCCTGCTGGGCAATTATGGGGAGTATAGAAAGTCAGGTGCAGGATGGGCTCCATAATGACCTTTAGTGTTCTAGTTTGGTGAATATGATTTCATCTGTTTAAAGTGGACATAGTGGACATGTGCTATACATATTCCTTTCATCTTTGTAGAGACTGAAAAATTGGGAAGCAAGAGAAAGAAAAAAATCCAGAGAATATGAAAAAGACAGAGAACGGGAAGAAGAACGCAAAACTGAAGAGGTAAATATGACATGTTTATTGACCATGCTTGCTCACATTTACAAATTAAAAAAAGAATTAACCCGTCATCACTGAAGATGTTCTGATTTCTGTATAAAACCTCACGGACCATAATACATGCAGTTGTGGAGTTAAAGTTTGCATGCATTGCTTTACAATTTCAGATGCGTGAAGCTCGACGACTGAAAGAATTTTTAGAGGATTATGATGATGAAAGGGACGATCCTAAATTTTACAAGTAAGATATTCAAATATTATTTGATCCGAAGTTATCTAATGCAAATTGATGATAGAGACATTATACATTTATGGCACATGTTTTAAGGTGATATGAAGGTTTGTTTACCTGAGGCATCATATTCCCCTGCCCACGGGTTACATTACTGTCATGAGTTAACAAACATTTTTATCATCCAAACCTACCACCAAGGCTATAAATTGTTTATTGCACTAAATCAGAAGTTCGATCACCGACAAACACGTCCTGAATTATTGCCATATATTTATAACAAAAAATCAACAAGTTAAAGCATTAAATATCAATAACAACAAAATCACTTTCAAATTAAGACAGGCATTTTGTGTGCCTTTTTTATCTTTGAGAAATTGAGGCATGTTTGCCATGAGGGCATGACTTGCTGTGAGACATGTCAACTTGTTACCATGATATATTTATCTCGGAGTCAAACTTGTTACTATGACATTTGATCAGTTTTCTCAGGGTCAAACATGTTACCATGATATTTGATTAGTTATCTCAGGGTCATGTGAAATGTTTCAAGGAATCAGAAATAATACCATGCTTAATATTTGAAATACTACAATGTAGAAAGTTTGAATGGTTGTAGTACATAATCTTTACATTGCATCAAATGTTACATTGTGTACATGTCTTGTTTGGCAGAGGCAGTATGTTGGTAAGAAGAATGAAAGAACGAGAAAAGGAGCGAGAAGCAGATGCAAGGGATCGGCAACGTGAGAAGGAGGAGCTGGAAGAGATTCGCAGAAAACTGATGGACGAGGGTCACCCAGACCCAGAGGCAGAGCTAGCCAAGGTAAATGATTTATAACATATTCATTTAACTTGCAACACTGAACATGATGATATATTTGAATTGTATTCAGACTTGTTATTGGAATTCAAGTTTTTTATATGACTGCCTTTGGGAGAGCGTATATTGCTGACATCCTGAGCCTGTTCGTTTATGCGGAACAATCGGTTTGTCTGTTTATAAATGTAACAATTTACGGTATTAATCCTGGCGGACCTGCAAAAGTTTATGCAGGCATTGCAAGGCTTTGTCAAGGCTCACCTGAAAGCAGAATTAGATAACTATTTCCGACCTTGTTCAATAAACAAACAACTGTGGTCCGACTGGTTAAAGACTAGTACACAGGTTCCTAACTAGAATTTTCAACCAAACTCCCACAGAAGTATTAATGACATTGATTTCTCAAATCAGTCAAAGATTAAAGTCATCCCTTCATAGTCAAGAACACAACTAAGGAACTTATATTTGATAGGAAAATTGACTTAATGCATTCCTTACCTTTACTTTTAAACCAAATTTCATAAAACTCATTATGTATGTCTTTAACATAAAAGCCCCCACAGCTTGTTTACATCAGCACACACTTGCCAAACTTCCATAACTATTGCATAATATTGTCTGAGAAACAGGGTTTCAGTTTACTTCTATATGGGGGTAGTATGACCTTCTTAAATGGCTTTTGACCCTCAAAATGTTAGAGGCTTGATATATATAAAGGGTTGGCGGCCAGACATTGCCGTCATGCAGGGTGTTGATCCGTACATCGGTTCACATTGCATAACAGGATGATAACTTGAGAACAACTGATCATACAAAGTTCTAACTTGGTGTGTGGGTTGCCCTAGTGGATGCGAAGAAACCTATTGATTTTTGGCATGGTTCTTTGTGTACAAGTTTTCTGGCCTTCTCAAACACAAATTCATGATGGGTGAATAACAACTCTACATGAGATTTTTCACATGGTGGGTATATGCTTCCCCTGGTATTTCTACATACTGTATTAGGTGCTGTTACAGACACATAAATAGTGGCAATGTCTGTTAACATTGATGTAATTCAAGATTTTCATGCCTGATTAGATTAACCTTGGTGATATAACTTAAGGTAGTGTAAAAACTAATACAGTGGAGAAATGGCTGTCGTTCAGGTCATCTGCATGTGCTTTTTGTTACCAGATTGAGCGGGAGAGAGAGGAACACCTTAAGCCACGCCTCCAGCTGTTGCCACCACCAGTCCCAAAGTCCCCTGAAGCTCCACCTCCACGGGAAGAGGTGCGGGAGGAGGTAGAAGAAATTGAGGATGAATATGAACAGGAAGATGAGGACTCCAGAGGAGCTAAACTACCACCCAAAATGCAGTCAACACTGCGACCTGTAGACAATGATGCCAGCTCTTTATCAGATGAGGATGATGACAGTAACCTACCATTTGAGAACACATCACCTCAGCCTGTTTACGGTCCAGCTAAGGAGGAAAATACAAAGATGGGCTTCAGTTCTATCAAATTAGGTTAGTTCTGCATTCTGCATTAGTTTTCCAAAGTCCTGCTTAGCTAACGAAAATAAAGTGTTCATTCTTTCTATAACTATTGAGTACATATATGTATATGTAATGATTGTCTATTGTCAATTAAGGTGCTACGAGCCCTGTGGAAGGTGTGCCACCCAAGAGGAAGAAGCTCACAGTGGGAGATGTGTTCAATCAAGATGATGATGAAGGGTCAGACGGGGCAAAGAAACGCAAATTGGTTCCACTTGATTATGATGATGACAAATCAGAAAAGAAACCCACTACAGCTGAAGAGAAACGTTCAAGAATCAAACACCTTATTGAAAATATACCAACTGCTAAAGATGAACTATTTGCTTATCCATTGGACTGGAATATTGTTGATCAGGTATTTATCTGAAGTCCATGTCAGAAAGTTGATGTCTTTATTTTTTGTAAGAGCCGTGTGACCTTCAATATTTACTTTGGCTAATAACTGTATCATATTGAATTTGCATTTTCTGTTATAACGATTTTATCTAATTCTGGAACATTTGCTTTTAATTAAAGGTAGTGTCATGCCTAATAACAAAAATATGCTTATCATGTCTTGCAAACTTAGTTTAACCACATGTATTTAATTGTTTATAATTACAGAGTCTCATGGACAAGAGAATCAAACCCTGGGTAAACAAGAAGATAATAGAATATATTGGAGAGGAAGAGCCCACTCTTACCGATTTTATATGTCAGAAAGTTGTGGCAAGGAGTGTACCACAGAATATACTCAATGATGTTGCAATGGTAAGTTGCCACCTCAACTGGCTGAGGTGCTCTTCAAGGGTCAAACCTATTAAGAGGCATTGAACAACAGTAATCAGATTTGGCTGATATTGCTTTCAGGTTTAAGGATATCTGTACCACTGCCAAAAAATGTAACTGAATTGGATTTTTTTTTTTACGGCATGACAATGACTTAAATGAAATCAATTTTAAAATTTAAGCAAGCATAATCCTTGCAGAACTTTTCTTAAATGAATACGAATGAAATAAAAACCTGGACCTGCGATCACGTACAGTCACTCTAACCAACTTACTTCCTGTCAGTGAAAGTTCCCAGGCCCAGTTCATACTATATTTAGGTTGCTTTCACATATTCCAGTTAAATTCTAAATGTGCCAAAGTTAAGGCTGGCCTAAAAATGCACAGTTTCAGAGTTTTGCGACAAATGAATACCATTATTTCTAGATTGATATATGTCCTTTCACGTCTGTATTAAGTTATATCATATTGCTAAGAAATGCATTTGAGCCAATGTGGTTTATGTCGAAATAATGCAAACTTGCGATAGCCAGAATTTCAGTTGCGGTCGGGCACAATTTCAACCCCTTCATATTACAGTTTTCCAGAGGTCAGCCTGGTATTCAATACCAAATTCAGGGGATTTTTTTAGCTTGTATAACAAAATGACCAGGAATTTCTCTGGTGTTTTGCCTGAAGTGGGACAGGGATTTTCAATAGATCAATGTTATTTCACCCCTGTTAACACTAAAAATTCCTCAACACTGACCGGGGGTATTGCTCTTTGTTACCGTAAATAGAGCATTACATTCTTCAGCTCACAGGTACCTCAAAACCAAATGAGGGGTATTGGCATTATTTTTGTGATAGCTTGTTTTGTGTTTTGACCTATAGGTTGAATGCCTGAAATATTGATTTTTTTCAAAAGTTGATAAAATTGCATAACAAACGTATTTTTGCTTGCAGGTCCTAGATGAAGAAGCAGAAGTGTTTGTTGTGAAAATGTGGAGACTTTTGGTATACGAGACTGAAGCTAAAAAGCTGGGGCTAGTCAAGTGATAACATATTCACACAATTATGTAAATCACTCCTGTACCATTAGCCGTTTTAGGCTGCTGAGTGCTCAACATGTGTCAAAAGTACCTGGACAAGAGGACATGGAATCGTCCAATATTATTTTTAGTGGATAATGAATGTGTAAGGACAAGCGGTCGACATATGGACAGTTACTCAACTGGGTATTTTACCTTTGAGTATTTATGCTCTTACCAATTCATAGAAATAAGCAAGGATGCATGAGATTTAAAGGAAACCAAAGGAAATTTATCCAGAAAGGTGAAGTAATATGAATTTTCGCTGTGCCATAAAATGGCTTTTGGGTAGTTTTTATGTTTCCAAAATAAGATTTCTTGTAAATGGAATATTTTTTGTATTTTTTTTTCTATTGAGAATTATTGTCAGAACTTGACACATCCTGGGTACTAATTTATGTTAAATGTTTTCCTTGATATTTTAAATTTGATTTTCTGTGATAGAGATGTGAGCTCGCTTAGGATTATTTTCAACCTGATTGTTCTAATGATCACAATATTTCTTATACAATTGCAACTTGATGTTAGTATTTCCTTTGTTTTGTTATTTTTTCCTTTGTTTGATGGTCAAGAAGGAAAAGATTATGATGTGTGCAAGCACTGTTTAACGTTCAGTTTATATTTATCACCCTCCCCCTTTTCACTTTTTCTTTACACACTTGAAATTGTTTCGTCTATCAACTAGTCTTCTCAGGAAGATTCGATTTATTGTCAGTAAGATTACAGTGTTGACATGAGATGTTGACCTAAAACCCATCAGATTTATTGAAATGATTGTATTTTAGTTCCATTTTTGTCCTGTTTTGATCATGTCCAATGCATAGTTAATATGTTGCCCTTAATTTCATTAAATGTATGAATATGGAAATTTCTTCTCACACAATTTTGCTGTAGGTACTGTAACAAGGATTTGACTGGAGAGCATTTTTCCCTTGGTCTTCAAATGCTACTGAGTGTGATATCAGTTTTGTCTGCAGTTAGTGTAGTCCATGTTGTAATTTGTAATAATGTTTGAATGAAAGTTTATATCAAAGATGAGGCCAGTCTTCAGGGAAGATGTTGATACTGAATGTAAATAGGATGTTATCAAGAGTTACACTACCTACAGCTATTATGAAGGCAGCTTAGGGATCAACATTATTCATCACTATTGTAAGACATGATCATGATACAGCAATTATCTGTTCAGGTTTGCTTTGCCTCTTTGGAGGTAAAGATTCATTATTGTTAGATGTATGTTAGCGTAATGACTGGTATGCAAGAGTGCAAGATTGAAGAAGGGAAGGAAACCAGGTGTAGTGAAAGTCGAATGTTTGTAACAAGCTTAGATTTTATTTGCTGAATGGATACATGATAAGTGTAACTTATTCCTGGTTTGTTACAAAAAATACCTGTGGAAGATAAATGATCGGTGTCAGGTGTGTGGTTGCTGTTATGTTTTATAAGGTAGAAGTTAGATGTTTAAGAGAGAGTGAGGATAATGATAGGACAAGTCTGAATAAAACTGTTGACAGTAAGTACTTTTTGTTTTTGACTTATTGGAACAAAAAATAAATAACTTGATGCTTAATCAGCCCACATCCAAGTGATATAATCAAGGTTTTTCGCAAACAACAGGCGATTAACCTACTGGGTACCACCAGTTTTGGAGGTATCAGCGTTATAGTGAAACCACATCCATCACTGAACAGCAGCAGGGGGTAATCAGATGCCCTGCCCAGCGTAATGACGCTGATGCTGCTATACTGGAATACTTCCAATACTGGAATACTTCCACGAGGAGGAGATCCCAGTGTCGGAGGTGCGACAGATTTTGTCCAAGAAGAACAATAAGTTGGTTCCAACAGACACGTTTGTACAGACCTTTGCTACCCATCACTTCCTTCGGCCGTAGTGATTGGTCACCAAAGGTGCACTGTCTCCGTCTACATCCCTAATCCATTAAGATGCCGTAACTGTCAGAAGTACGGGCATCATGAAAAACGATGTAGACGGAAGGCCGTTTGCCAGTATTGTGGTCGTGAAGGTAATGAGGACCAAAGCGACTGTGATATTGCCAACCTGCGTTGTGTCAACTATGAGGGAAAGCATGTTGCTTCGTCTCGACACTGTCCTGCCTGGAATCGCGCGTGAGAGCACGGACGTAGCTACACCCTTATATGCACAAGTGATGGAAGTCTGGTCGCCGGTTGACAATGTCACAGTCAAGGATGCTTCGGTTAAAGTATCTGAAGACATACCTGCATACAAGTCCCAGACATGGCTGGCCAACAGAACTTGAAAATCCTCTTGGGAGATGCACCCCTTTTCGCGACAAAACCGATAAACCCCACAAACAACCAAAAACGACACCACATTCACCAGTCAATGTTTCAAAAACACCTTCCTCTTGGGAGAAAAACCTCCAAAACTTGGCCCATCTAGTGCACATATGCGTTCGCAGCGATCTCGCTCACTTTCCTCTTTACCTCGATCCCAACTGAGGTCGGAGGCAACATCACCAACCAACAGACTTAAGAAAAAAATCAAAATAGCCAGGGGCAAATCTGATGCGCTCGATATGAATGTCGCCTATGGCAAAGGATCAGAGGACCCGACAAACAGGTTTAACGTCCTAGTGGATCTCTATGATGAGATGGAGACGAATGCCTCGGCGTTTCGTGCTTCGACTCCATCGAAATCCATTCAAAATAGGAAAAAATGAACAATACAATTATCAAATGGAACATCCGCAGATTAAAGACAAATATAGACAAATTTCAGAATTTATAAAAAGAATTTTAACCCGACATTTTTTGTCCACAAGAAATCATGCTCAAATACCCAATCACTCTTAGAAATTTCTCTCTCTACAATAACATTCCAACTGTAGATAGCAGAGCAGCAGGTGGTGCAGCTTTAGCTGTCCATAAAAATATTCCTCACAGAATGATCAAGTTAAACACAAATGTACAGGCTGTTGCTGTCCGTTCAACATTACACAGACAAATAAACGTCTGTTCAATTTATCTTCCTCCGAGTATTGTTTTCACTTGTGAGCAACTCGATAACATCGTCTCCATACTCCATTCATAATCCTTGGTGATTTTAATGGTCAAAATAGCCTATTTACACCCTGCTACAGACTTTCGTACCCACATTGATCTGTCATTATGCCATCCTTCCATCCTACTTAATTATGACTGGGAGGTAATTAATGATCTTTGTTGGAGTGACCACTTCCCCATTTTTTTTAAAGAATACTCCTCTTGATGATCCTCTACCTCGATGTAATATGCACAAAGCAGATTGGGTCCAATTCCAACACATGTGCAACAAGAAGCTTACCACAGAAAAAAATTACAAACCTCGAAGACCCATACAAAACTTTTAATGAAACACTCTCTTCTATTGCCCAAAAGACAATTCCAAAATCCGCTCCAAAACCTACGAAGTTCCTCTTATCAGAAGAATCTTTTAAAACACGCAGCAATCGGGCAGCTGCTCCAAGACGCTACTTGAATTGTCCAACTGTTTCAAACTACTGCGATTTTAAAATTTGGTGGGCAAAGGCTCGGCGATCAAATAAAATTGACAAAAGAAACAGCCGGAGAGAATATGTATCGAAGGTATCATCAAACACGTCCTCCAAAAAAGTATGGGATATGATTCGAAAAATTAGTGGGGGGAAAAGAAAAAGTCAACATCCTCCCACCTCATAAATATAAACAATTCTTTCGTCTAAGCCTGAAATTGCTGATGCATTTGCAAAAAAACATAGCTAAAAACTCGTCCCCTTTAAACCACTCCCAAAAATTCCCGTCTTTAAAGAAGAAGAAAAGAAAAGAAACGGCTAAATTTCAAATCATCAAACAACGAAAGTTTCAATGAACCATTTACCCTACCGGAACGTCATCTATGCCCCTTGTCATTGCATCATGATCTCTTTAAGTTCTCAACTGTTCGTTTTCATGTGGCTTTGGCTCTTCGCCTGCTTAAATCCATCACAGTGATGATTTCGCAATATTGACGTTCATTTGCGAAATTTATGTCCGGGTCATCACCATCTTCTCACTTCGATTTATATCCTGGTGTCATTTTGGTTGATTGTTGTCTGGTGCACGATTTCGTTGGTTATTTTCTTTTGCAAGCAGATAATATGCGATGCGGAAAGATGGTTTATTTGCGCTCCAACATGCAGCAACATACCCATATTGATTTCACATTGCTGTCGAAGATCCTAATTTTAACCTTTCTTGATATGGAGCTTGTTTTGCAGACAGGTACCAGTCATCCTCGCTCACTTTCGCTCTCTGCACCCCTGGAATAGTTTGATCCTTTGATGTACATCAAAATAATCTCGCGGTCGCATAACGGTAAAACTTGCTGGCGTTGAAGTCGGGTGTCGCTCCTCTGTAATCTTAAAGGGACATGTATCAGCCTAGTTATTGGTCAGGTTTTTTTACCTGACACCAATCAAATAGCTAGCAGCGTACCTTCAATTTTGCTATGACATATTCCAGGGGTGTAGAGAGCGAAAGTGAGCGTAACCCATGGATATCGAGGACGGGTACCAGTTGGCAAAAGTCTGTTGCCCTTATTAGTATGACTAGTTATGCTGCCCTGATGTAAGAATTCCTCTACCTGTCACAGGATGATCCTTCATCCTATTTGAAGTGTTGCTGTTGTCATTTAGGGACATGATCTTCTTTTCTTGGCGTTCGCCTTCAGTTCATTTTCTTTGCTCGATTTCGCAGTGAATATGTCTTAACAGTATGGTGTCCTGTTTCTGGATAAATAGCAATGGCATATGCAAAGTAAACATATTGAGTTAATGGTCCACCTTTTACTGAAATATTCCTCTCCAATTGTTGATTAATAAAGTTCTCTTATCTTACATGAAATGGGAAATTGTATCCAGTATAAATGTGACATCACTCATCAAGAGCTGTGCACTGATGTCAACGCCTCATGTCTTCAAGTTTTTCAGTTTCCAGATGGTCACTGTTATCTCCGCATGTGATAGTGCAAGTATACTGATGCTAACTTCTCTAATGTTTAATGCTGGTCTCGTCATTATTTGTTGCTTTCTCTGCTTCGTCTACTTGTTGTTCCACATCGCTTTAATTAGCTATTATGCTTTTCTGAATAAAGAGTTTAATTTATAGTTCACCGAGAATACTCAGAGACTTGATTTTCTAATCTTGAGGAATACATGTAGTTTAAAAAGATATGAAAATAGCTGACACTTTCAGTGAATTTGGAGGTGAAGAAAGGTTTCGGGAGATTTTTTTCGGTGTAGTGCTTGGTAATTACCGTGAGTTGTGCAAAAGTGAATGTTTATTAACCCTTTCACCTCTATGTAACTTTAGTAGACATTACCATGCATTTGTCCATTATGGTCTGCAGTGGTGAAAGGGTTAACATAGATATCCAGGTGACATCTGAAAAGGTCAACAATCTGTCTGAATGTGAATATATCATCAAACATACATAGGGTTAATATACTGAACATAGTCTGAAGTTATTGTTCAAGATATATTGAAAACAATGACAAATGAAGGAATGCTGAGGTCTACAATCTATACTACGACGTTAAAGCTGTATTAATGCAATGTAGATACATATTGAACAAATGGAAAATTCAGAACCTCGTGATAAAATGCATACTTTTTATTAAAATGTAATGTCTACGAGAAATACTTCAGTACTAAGGACTTGAATACCCAGTCAAATAGTTAAAATTCTTTTTCTTCATTTCTGGTTTTCAGGGCTTTCAATAGCTCTTGTAGAATTACTGCTGTTTCTTCCAAATTTGTTTCTGAAAAGAAATACAAAATAAGAAGAAGAAATCCAAATTCGTATAATACAAAACTCGTAAAAGTGATTAAACTTGGGTGTCAGATAGATGTTCTTTTCTATTAAATGTGCAGGAAACACTTTAAAATAATCAACCTTAGAAAGATGGAGTCGTCTGAAATAGCAACATCAATACGTTTGTCTCATGTAATTGCGATAAGGCAATTTTCTTTATCAATGGTCAACAAACTACCTCATTTAATTACTTCACCTTTATTGACTTGTTAATAACCGATTTTTGACTGATTTTTAAAGGGTCAGAAATATGAGGATGACGAAATCGCTTGACAATTCTAATGAGTTATCAGCGTGGACAGGAATAATATGTCTTGACAATTTTAACGGATTATCAATATAATAATGTGTTAGATCTTTTGTAGAGCATTAGTTCACTAAGTTTAAAAAAAAATAAGTATTTTCTTTGCAAACGGGATCCATTTAATTAATAGTTAGGTTTCGATAGATGTTGATTCAACTTACCTGAGTGGAGGTCGGTGACTGGTGATTTGGTCGACTGGGTGTTGTCTCCCTGGTCTATTGAACCGTGACTAGCTGGTTCACCTTGTTATATATACAGTTTATTAATGTTCCTCTGAATTTGTCACCATTTACAGTGATCTTGACGTTATAAAATGTATATTGTAACAGAAATTATAACCGTTTATTGCGCGCCTATTGGAGTTTCTTCACTACAAAACAGCATAATGAAGTTTGAGGAAATATATCAATCACACTTTTACTTCCTTGCGCACGTATGTTTAATGTCTTTCTTTTTTATTGAATACAATTACAGATTATATATTGTTTAAACCCTGTATACCAACCTACCCCGACTATTTCATATTATAACATTTCTTAGTTAGCATACCCGGCCAGCTTTTGCTCCACGACCCAGTCCATGACGACTTTCCAGTTTCTCCGTCCGGCGAGTCTTTTTCCTCAGTGGACAAACTATCTGTAAGTTGATAACAAGTACTTTTATCAATTAGCGATCGGTAGTTTCTCTCTCATAGAGGCTGCACAAAGAAAGGGACGCATTACCGTAAATGCATTACTTCGTTATCTTAATAAAAAAGCATATATCTCAAATCCTTTAATTTGGGAAAAAGCAAGATTTCGGCCTGTAATACAAATGAAGATACTTCACATACCAGATGTGTGTTTACTTGGCCATTCTCCCTTCCACTGTCCTGCCCAGTTTGTGTTGACCTTCAGGTTGACCTCCGTAGATGGTCTTTGACCTTCCGATTGAGTTGATGTTCGATTTTCAACCGAATCACCAACTAACATATCTGTACGAAAGAAATGAAATCGTCAATTGTGTCTTTATTATAAGGACTTAAAGAAATATCCAACATGAGGAAAATACCCTACTTTGTAAATATATTTTCAATATTCTTCAATTGAAAAGAAGTATCATTTGACACTAATTAACACTGAAGATGATTAAAAAGCTTATCTATGCTAAATTATTCACTGACCAGATGTGTGTTTACTTGGCCACTCCCCCTTCCACTGTCCTGCCCAGTTTGTGTTGACCTGATGATTGATCTCCGTAGATGGTCCTTGACCTCCCAACTGTGTTGATGTTCTATTTTTAGCTGAATCTCCAACAAAACTGTCTGTAGGAAAGTATATATGGCATACACGGATTATCAGCTTAAACATATAACTTTGCAAAAACGTTAGTGAGCTGTTTGGTCTAACTGACATTGCAATAAACGACACGTTTCCATGAGGTTGCCATGTTGTTTATGCGATATACACCCTTTAATCTTTTTTGCATCATTACTTAAGATTTTTTTTAAAAATCTTCTGTACATTTTAACAATTTAAAGGCACATACAACAATCATGTTGGCCATGAATGTAGCCATCAGTATATAGTAATGACACCGCGACATACCTGGCTGAGAGTTAGCATCAAATGATCCAGTGAATTTGGCATTTAGTTGGTTTGGGTCGAATATGTTTGATATATAACTGGTGGTGAGTTTATTGGGATCGTATGAGGTCATGACCCCGTTCGTGTTGTAAGGCTGGGCTTCATGGGCGTGTAGATTGTGGGTACCGGTCATGTACGTGTCACGGAGACTGTTTGGGTCGTACGCCTTGATGTAATTCTTGACATTTTGGTTTGGGTCGTAAGACGCGCCGCTGAGAGCCATGTTAGGGTTGAACGATGCCCCGCTGAGAGCCTTCTTTGGGTCGTAGGTGATGATAGTATAGCCCAGGTCTGCGTTCATTACTGTGTTAGGGTTAAAGCTCTCAATATAGGAACCGGACTGGCTAAAATGTCCGTCACCTAGGGATTATAGAACGAACTGCCTCAGTTGACTAATACTTATATACTCGAGATTATTGTAGTGAGTGACTTATATTAAAAAAATCTACAGAAAACTCCGAAATGTCAACAAAACCGTAACTCGAACTCAAAATCGATACAACTTGGTGACTATTAAAAAAAGAACAAGGATAATATAACCAGGCTTTCCGGAAGCGTAAGCGTCCTCTGCTTCAACGACATGATTATGTCAATCTTAGCCAAATCGAAGAAACTTCACGCCCCCTCATGCGAGAATAAATGTGAACGTAGTGGCAACGAAACAATGCACACCAACTACGTAATAAAAAACGTCGACTTCCATATCACACAAAGAAAAAGGTGTGTTCTGAAATAAAAGAACTGACTCAACTAGGTACGACTGTTTTCGATAATGGAAAGAACAGAAGCCTCTTATAATAACATGGCGTCCTAGACTTAGTTCTGTCTCTGATAAAAGATAATACGAAGTCATCTTATTATTACCTGATAATATATATTTGAGCACTGGCACTTAAAATTTGTTACATTATCTGGTATTATAAAGCGAAATTACGTGTCTAATAAATAGCTTTGGTTCATCTTATTAATATATTGGGATTATAGGCCGACTTTAAAACTGAGATGCATATATATGACTAATACCTTGGATTCGTGCAACGGCAGATACGTTATGACTATATCAATGACAAATCCACCAGACCATTACCTACAATCTTGAGAAGACTCATTTTGCAGCTCTTCTGACAATATCTTTGAATAGGATTATGTCTTTTTATAGCAGATTATGCATCAAATGATATGTCATTTAATTAAAACCAATTGTATATTTATGTATGTTTTATAATTAACAACTTCCTCTACTGACTCATGAATTATTATTTTGCTCGAATTTTAACAACATTAATGGCTGAAAAAACCCAGAAATGATCAAATATTGCAGAAAAAAGTATGAGGTGGATGGAACAGGGATAGTTATTTCCTTTGCACTGTTGTACACTCCGTGACTTTTTCTTTGATACATTAATTAGATCAAACACTATACAAACGACCAGTATAACTTTTCAGGCATGCATTTCCTTATTGCAGACGTACCATGCTAGTGGCAGTGTTCGTCTCTTAAATGGCTCGCAATTATGCCTTCTAAATTCATACTATTAAAATGCATTTTGTAGGTAATTTAAAATTTCTTGTACAAAATAAGAACTGAACAAACGTTGATCGGCAGCTCTAGGCACTAAGTATAAGCTGTTTTGTTATCTGCGTTTAATAGAAACGTTCTTATTTCCCTTCTCTTTGATATTGTTGTCACATCGACAGTTACTCTGTCTGGATATTGGTTGTAATCCCTAGTATTGCTCATCTGTAAGTGAGGCCCGTGTTCTTCCTTCGGTATAACAATGCTTGATTAATCATAGTGATTATAATTAATTTCAAGATAGTATACTTACTTTCTTCTGTATTAACCACTGAAAAAGGTAATCTACTGTAGTAACTACTGAAAAGGGTAATCTACTGTAGTAACTACTGAAAAAGGTAATCTACTGGAGTAACTACTGAAAAAGGTAATCTACTGTAGTAAACACTGAAAAAGGTTATCTACTGTAGTAACTACTGAAAAAGGCAATCTTCTGTAGTAACTACTGAAAAAGGTAATCTTGTGTAGTAACTCATGAAAAAGGTAATCTACTGTAGTAAACACTGAAAAAGGTAATCTTCTGTAGTAACTACTGAAAAAGGGAATCTTGTGTAGTAACTCATGAAAAAGGGAATCTACTGTAGTAACTACTGAAAAAGATAATCTTGTGTAGTAACTACTGAAAAAGGTAATCTTCTGTAGTAACTACTGAAAAAGGTCATCTACTGAATTGGTTGACGCTATGGAAAATATCATCGTAATTTTCCACTTTTAATTATTTGATTTTTATATGTTTACTTGATTTGGCGGAATCATGTCACATGTCCTTCAGGAACCACTTACCCTTATGTCTTTAGGTTTGATGTCTGCTTTTTACATGCTAATGTTTTAGGTTTGATGTTTCCTCTTTACCTGTTACTGTCTTTAGGTTGGATGTTTCCTCTTTACCTGTTACTGTCTTAAGGTTTGATGTCCCCTCTTTACCTGCTATTGTCTTTAGGATTGATGTCTCATATTTACCTGCTATTGTCTTTAGGTTTGATGCCTCCTCATTTACCTATTATTGTCTTTAGGTTTGATGTCTCCTATTTACCTGTTATTGTCTTCAGGTTTGATATCTCCTCTTTTCCTGCTATTGTCTTTAGGGTTGCTGCCTCCTCTTTACCTGCTCTTGTCTTTAGGTATTAAGTCTCCTCTTTTCCTGTTATTTTCTTTAGGTTTGATGTTTCCTCTTTACCTGTTATTGTCTTTGGATTTGATGTCTCCTCTTTACCTGTTATTGTCTTTAGGTTTGATGTTTCCTCTTTACCTGTTACTGTCATTAAGTTTGATATCTCCTATTTACCTGCTATTGTCTTTAGGTTTGATATCTCCTCTTTTCCTGCTATTGTCTTTAGGTTTGATGCCTCCTCTTTACCTGCTCTTGTCTTTAGGTATTATGTCTCCTCTTGACCTGTTATTGTCTTTAGGTTTGATGTTTCCTCCTTACCTGTTATTTTTGTTTAGGTTTAATGTTTCCTCTTTACCTGTTACTGTCTTTAGGTTTGATATCTCCTATTTACCTGCTATTGTCTTTAGGTTTGATATCTCCTCTTTTCCTGCTATTGTCTTTAGGTTTGATGCCTCCTCTTTACCTGCTCTTGTCTTTAGGTTTTAAGTCTCCTCTTGACCTGTTATTGTCTTTAGGTTTGATGTTTCCTCCTTACCTGTTATTTTC